CCAAATGTTATCCAATGTTACAAAACTTACCTCCACTGTTAATCATTGAAAAATAAACATTTATCCAAGTATAAACCCATACAGACACTAACCTGGATAGTTAACTAGTTTACATCAACTAGCCAGGCTACATGGCCTAACTTACAGAACGCAGAAATAAAAGGTTGTAGCATAACGTTAAGCAAACAGTTAATTCATGAAAAGCATACAATGTATCTGAATCAGACCGATATTGTTGAAAAAATGCGCTAAATTTAATCTGGGAGGCATCCAGTAATATAAAAGCCTTATTGTCAGATTTGAAAACACTCAATGGCAACTGAATCAAATTGAACTGAACTAAATTAAATTGAATTTAACTAAAATAAACTGCTGCCACCAAGAGTAACAAAATAATTTTAACTTTAAGGTCTATTGTACATAAGTTAGCAAAGTGCATTTCCTTCATCTCCCTTTCGCTCTGATTTTTCTTATCAGCATAATACGTTGCCTGTTTGTGTTTTTGCCCAAGGGCCCTGTGTTGCTGGGGTTGTAGGACTAACCATGCCTCGGTATTGCCTTTTCGGAGACACCGTCAACACTGCCTCTCGTATGGAATCCACTGGGCTGCGTCAGTATCCCGTACACATTTATTCCATATTCAGATGCTATTTGTGGTCTGTTTTCCATTCGCCTCCAACTTTCAGTTTTCTCTTCCAATCTCAGCTTATAGAATCCATGTAAATTATAGCACTGTGAAGATCCTTCATTCTCTCAATGATGGGTATAAAATAGAAGTCAGAGGCAAAACAGAACTGAAGGTAATAAGGCTGAAATGTTTGAAGAAAAAATGTTTCTGTTTGTTTTACACTGGATGAGATCAGAGAAACTGTTTGCTCCTTTCCTGCAGGGTAAAGGTATAGAGGAGACATACTGGCTTGTGGGGAAAACCAACTTTACAAAACCTTTGCCAAAACCACCAGAAATACGACCTGGGTAAGGGTTCAATTTTTTTAATTCTCGTTGCTGAACAAAAAAGGAAAAAAAAAAGCTGAATTTGTGCAAAAATGCAACCAATATTGAAAGGTGAACTTGCATACTTTGTTAAGTTGCACCCTAAATTGCAAAGCATTTTATTGGAATGTTATGTGTGAGACCAACAGAAAGTTGTGACTAGTTAATAGGAGGAAGGAAAAATATATCTGGTTTTAAACATTTAAGAAACCAATATGGTGTATCTCCCAGGAATCAATGCTAGGTGGAACCTATTTTTTGCAACAATTACTTTTTTCTTTAGCAGCTTTACATGTGGAGAGAAAATATTTGCCTTTTTTGCAAAAAAGTTGAATCTGAGTCATATTATTTAATATTATTTTATATTTATTTAGTGTTGCCAAAGATTCTCAGTAGAAATTAGGTCCAAACTTTAAGTGAGCCATACTGACACACAAATGTTCTATTATCTGAATGATTTCTATTATTTATCTGACTTTATTTATGGGAGCATTTTTCTGCTTGAAGATGAATCTTAACACCAATGGTTTTGAATGAATAAATAAATGAGTGATTAACTTCATTTCAGACAAACTAGTTAAAAGAAAACACCTTTCACATGGAAATATTATGATTATTGCCATATATAATTTTCATATGCATGTTTAGTGCTTATATCTGAATAGGGGTATGGGGAAAGTCTTTTAGCTTTTAAAATGTTTTCTTTCAGGGTTACTCTATCACAAACAGACATTTCCCACTGGAACCCCTATTGTTAAGAAAATATGTTTGAAGGGTCTTGTGAACTGTTTTTTTTTTTTTTTTTTTTTTTTTACAAATAAATAAAATAAATAAGGAGCGCGGCATTGCCTTAGCACACGCAGTTAGTCATTGTGTTGCAGATAAACAACTGAATAAAGGATAACATATGTAAAAGTGATGCACTATTTAAATAAAGACTTTGCATGTGGCTGTGACCAGAAAGCCTATGGGAGAGCAGTGGATTTGTTTCCTGTGTCAAATGGGCAGTAAAAATTTGCATATGAGTGGTAGGTGAAGCAGATTTAGAAGACGGAGAGTATATACAGTAGCTCTCACTCCTTTTTTTCAAAAGAGAAAAATAGAGAAAATAAACAAATAATTGGTACTTATCTCCAAAGTTGACTTGGAGGTCCAGACTTTGGTCTTCTTTGAAATATTCTTATATGTTTGCTTTTTCCCTTAAATGGCCTCTAGCTAACTCTAAGCAAGACTTGATGTCGCTTTTGAAATAGAAGTGTTTTTCTTGCCATTTGTCTATAAAGGGCAGATTTTAGGAGTTTGCAACTAATGCAATTATTCCACACAAAAAAGCACTGACCAGATTAATATACTTTTACATTTTCATTATTTACCTTTTTTTGCAATTTTTTGTGTGGACATAATTTTAGCATAGTGCAATGTAGTGCTAGCTATTGAGCTGGAGCACTAACCCCACCATCTGAAGAGGAAAAGAAGACTGCTTTTAAAAGAAGAAAGAAAATAGCCTCTACAATGCTGGATTCAAGCAATTAAAAGCTAGAATAGGGCCACTAAAAGGGACTGATGACGGTGCTGAGGTTCCAAAATGCAAATGACAACTACTGCATGTAAAGGCGCTAAAAGCCCAGCTACTTAGGAATGCAGATAAATTCAATTAGAAATATTTTACAATGCCTAAGAATCAACAAAGAATTATTTGAAAATTTGCTGTGATTCAGAAGTTTGGGGAAAAAAATTTCAAGCAACTTTAAACTTACCACAAATTCCAGATGACTCGTGAATTGCAAGAAATGACTAGGAAGACACATCAGTTACAGACTCAGAATTTAACTAGCAATTCACACATTTTGCTAATCTCTGTAATCGCTTCTATGATAAAACAATTGGGGGATACATATATCTTTCAGAATTACGATTCTATTATATAAAACTCCAGTTATAAATGTTGAGAAAAGGACATTAATGGTTTTAAGGTGAGAAATATAAAAAGTTACAAGGCTCTGTATTTTTATACCTACCTGCATGTTACTGGTTTACCATTGTTGTGTACAAACTGTTATTGTTAACTGTTGCTCCAGGGAAGACAATCATGGGCTCAGAGCTGAGGATATAGCTGCCTACAGGAGAAAGAAAGCTGAGAAAAAGGCTTGAGCCTCTATTTTATATACAGGAGGTATTTAGCTCTGCATGCTCCCTGATGTTGTGCTGTGGATGTTTTGCATTTATTGTCAGTTTGATGTGACCCAATCCATCCTCTGAGTATCTACACCAACAGCTTCCTCTCATTGATGTCTGAATCTCACTGACTGATAGGCTCATTAATCTCTTGATCTTATCACCTTCCTCCTCTTCTCCTTAAGTGGATTGGGGAAAGCCCCTCTTCTTCACTGCATTTGTCCTTATTTTTATGTTTGCTGATAGAGTTCCTCTTTATCTGCTTTGCTTTTATGTGTGTTGCATGGATTTTTTTTTGTTTGTTTCATCAACGTGCTTCCTAGATTTATCTGAATTTCAAAACTGTGGCTTTAACCCAGTGTTTTCTCTCAAATCAGGGACAACTGGCAGGAGATGGTGACGGAGGAGATCAAGACTCATTTCCGCAAGGCCAATAGGCAGGTGGACAAAAAAATCTGAAACACTGAGAGAGAGAGGAGCAAAATAAATCAAGGAAGGACCAACAGATGAGTGCAGGAAGGAGGCATTCAGATAAGGCGTAAGAAGAAGAGCTACAAGAGGCAATCAGAGGACTGAGAGCAGCACCCAGCCTCTCGCTGTGGCTTAATGCAGACTTGTTTAAGAGGATTGTTCATCGACTGGCTAATCTTCCTGCAGCCAGCACAGCAGAACATGACGGTGCTAATGTAATGAGTGGTCACATCATCTGCCTGCCTACCTGCTGCCAACAAGTACTCGGTCCTTAATGAAGGATGAACTCGTTCATTCCTCTCTGCAATCACTGGCCACTACGTGGTCCAATACTCAGGGCAACCGGAGGTTCACCCATCCGCAGAGCGAACGCCCCAAACGCCTATTTCAAAGTAAAACATTACAATGAAAGCTGTTTTAGTCGAGCTGCAGTGCCCAGCCTGTTATGTACCTGTTAAATCAATATTATGTGTTATTAGCCATCCAAAGCTGGAGGGCAACAGCTGCTATGTTGTAAAACTACTTATTTGAAAACAGAAAAAAAAAAATCCTTGCCACTTTTGTCTGTCAGCAAACCAAGATTGAGTCGACCCCGCATCAAAAAGGCTTTTACAGTAACAGCTCATTTCTTTAGTTTACAGTAAAGAAATGAGGCCAGTGTTTGGGGGGTACTTAAAGAAAAAAAAAATGTTCCTAGTGTTTACTGTGAAAACCTGAGGTTCCTCTATATGACAAATGTTTTTAAAGCTCAGCAGGCATTTTAAGGCTCTGTGTCAGCACTTTAACTTTCCAGAAAGTTCATATTTTTCAGGTGAAATTAAATGTTTAAGTGTTATCTAATTCTAATGACATTATTTTGTAGTTATTGCTGTTATTGAACTCTTTGTAGATGTTGTTTGTTGGTCCTAAGGAGTGATTCCTGAAAAAAGTCCCCCCCATAATGTTGAAGAAAAAGGACTTTATTGTTTGTTGCACATTTTTAAAGCAAAGTGGTTATGCCAACTGGTGAGCAGCTCTTACTCAGAATAATGGGCTGAACAAGAAGTTAATATCCATAGAAAACATTGGAAAACCCTGATTATATTATAGCTGAACTGAACTTTTTGTTTCAAGCCAAAATGGTTTCCCCATCTGTGACTTTTTGTTGCATAACACACTCTGTTATCAATTTACATCTCTTTCATCTGTCATATTCATATCGAAAACAGATTGAACTGTCTTTAAAGTGTTTTGTCTAACTCAGATGTTTCTTAAGTTTCTTCCTTGGTGTTAAAAATGCATAAAAATAAAATTTCATCTAAAATTAAATGTCTGCATAAAACATCAGTTCAATTTTGATCAATTTCTCATTTCATATCAGTCTTGAAATTCACATACTATAACCAAGTATGTGACAAAACCCAAATAAAAGGAATAGAGTTAAGATAATCAATTAAATGAAAGTAGTGCTTTCCTAAACATATGTATTTTCCTAAGTCCTAAACCTGCAGGAGATCCCATTAATTGAATAAGTCTTCAGCAATAATTTCAGTTCAATCAACTTTTGAAACAGAAATGTTGTTTTTCTAACTTCCACTAAACCCATATGCTTAGCTTCATGTGCTTTGTTTAAAATGGTAAAAAAAAAAATAATAATGTATAATGTGGTATAATTTATATGGTGTATGTCTGATATATTATAATGAAAGGTACAATCTATATATGTAAATAATTACTATATAAATAAATTATAAATTTGTATAACTCTGTCCAGAGTTTCATGAATATATTTTAGCTATTTATTACCACAAGGAGGTGCTGTTGTATTTATAGTTACAACTTTGGTAAAGCTTTATTTTCTAGTGCCAACATCAGAACACAATTCTTTCTAAAGTATATTTACTTCATTTCCTTTATCATTGTTGTTTTTTTAAACACATTTTCTAAGTAGTAACTGGGCTACATGTTAGTTCTGGTGCTGCCACAACACATTTGTTTTGTTTTTTTTTTTGCTTGAGCTCCCTGTGAAGAGTTTGCCTGAACACCATGAGAGCCCTGCACTCCAGCTTTTTTTGTTTTTTGTTTTTTTTATATATGCAGGATGTAAGTCTCCCTTCTGTGTGTGTGTGTATTTTTTTTAAGAGACCAATGTGAACATATTGTTTGAGATGAGGGGTCAAAGAGGTTCTCGGAATATATAGCAGATTAGCAGTGTAAGGAGATAGAGTAATCATTGTTAAATCTCTGCATTCCAGACCCTGAAGGAACGTTTGAACTCCAGTCGACTGGAAAGATTGTTATCTCACATTGTTGGCATCACTGTGACTTCTCCAACACTCCAGTAAAAGGACCTTATGGGTCAGAAAGGACTTTGAAAAACAGAACAGACACATTCAGCTTTATTTCTTTCATTTTATTGAAAAAAACACCACAATAATAGATAATCACACTTTTCCACCAGTTTCTTTGTGGAAAATACCTCCAACAACACAATGACACAGTATGACTGGAAAATGAGCATGAATACAGCACCACTTATTTGCCACCTTTCAGTGCAAACTGGTGGCGAAATCAGGGAATGACTGAGAGCTGCAAATCAAAAGCTTGTGCAAAGATCTTTTTTTCTTTAAACATTAAAGATAATGCAAGAGACGCACATGGAGTGTGGTAGCACCATCACTGGTAAACAGGTTGGGAGTTCAAGAAATTAAAATCGTCATACTTAATATAAGTATGTTACCTGTTTTACCAAGTGATGTTGATTAATTTAAATCTTTATTAAGGCACTTGTGTGTTTGTTGCCTCGCGGTTCAAGATTGCCAAAACCAGAATGCCTAAATATCCAGTCCACAGATTGTCTTAGGGAATGTGCTCTTGAGGTAACAGTCACACCAATAAAAACAAAACGCATCCACACACTCAAACATACAGTTTCCTGTCAGAATTTCACAAATATTAGATCTACAAAACATAATTCACAACTTTATCATTATAGCTCATCTCTCATCTTATCCCCCTTGGGTCTAACCACTCTGCCAATGTACATGATGGAGTTGGTCTTGTTGTCTTTCACCAGGAAGATAAAGGGGTGATCTACGTAGAAGAGCTTTGGGTTCCTCAGCTTTTCTGTGCCGAAGATGCTGGTGTCGTAAGGGTTTCCCTCCACGTCCAGCTCCAAGGCGGATGCATGGAAGACGTTGGAAAGGTAGAGGTCCTTCTTCCCTGAGATGTTTGACAGGTCAGCCTTGGACTTGTCCACAGCTTCAGTCAGGCCCATTTCAGCTAAATATTTCTAGAGGGAGAAAAGACAACTACTTAGGAGTCTGTTGATCACTCAACATAAAACTCTCACACTTTATATACGATGCATAATATTTACCTGCAGGTTGTGGCTGACTTCCAATGAGATCTTTGGGAGGGAAATTGCCACAGCCCTGTTCTCCATCTTGCTGAGCCAAGTGTCTACCTGCTTCCTTGTCAGCAGTTTCTCCAGGCGTTCCAGGGGCTCCAAGTGATAGGGCATGATAAAGATCATGGAAGCCTGCTTCTTGCCCAGAGGCATGTTCAGGATGTAGAGATTATTCTCCTTGTCTTCGTAGAAGTCATAGAGACCTGGAAGGTACATAGACATCAGATTTTATCTCAGATGGGAGGATACAGTAGGGAAGACATAACAAGAAGCAGAGATAGGAATGCTCACCTGTGCGGTGCATCATTGGAACTCCAACTGTGAAGGAGCGAGTAACCAGGAAACCGCGGTTGTCAACCATCTTTTCATGGAATCTCTCATCCCAGTGAGCTGTAGATAAAAATAAAAATAAAATAGTTACAAACCTGCACAGGCTTCAGATGGGATTTGTTGTCCCTCTTTGATGCTGTCTGGACTTACGCTTAAAAAACATGGCGTTAACAATCATGGCTCCGTCGGGGTTCTGCACATCTTTGGTGATCTCGGGCAGCTTGCCGTCTGTTGATTTGGCCGCCCACTCGTTGATGGAGTTCACCGCGCTCCTCTTGTCCCTGAAGTTAATTTTGGAGTGATCGTAGTTGTAGTGCTTCTTGCTGGTCTTCACAAAGTCATCGGCGAAGGAGACGGAGCTGGGGCCGTAGAGGCGGTTGTTGATCTTCCAGGTGGAGTTTCGGGACTTGGCATCGCTCACCTGGTGAAACACACCATATAAACTGTTAATGCCAAATTAAATCAATCTTTTTTCTGGATTCAAGCAAAGCCGTTTTATAAGTTGCAGGAATGATAGATTGACTTGTTTTTAAGGTTTAGACAGTTTACCTCAGAGAGGAGCTCTGACAGGCCAGCATGCAAGTGTTCATCCTTGAGTTTGTCAGCACTGAGGACAGTTTTCACTTGGGATGCAGTGGAGGACTTGCCACCGAGAGCAACCAGCCCCAGAGAGGAGGCCACAACCACAGGAGAAACTAAAATATTATCTGTGTTTTTGTCCTGAGCCATCTTGTGGTACAGGCTGGATCAAAACAATAGAAAAACAAAATTAGCAATCATTTTTAATTCTGGAAAGAATCTAAATGCCAATCTTTCAAATTTCTCTGGTCTATTTTATTCCAATTATGTAACTAACCTGAAGGCCAAGTTAGCGCTGTTGTCGGCCAGCGTGTTAGCATGGCTGCTCAGCTTCTTCTCTTCTGCAGAGGCCACCAAGGCCAGCAAACAAAGAACGACGATTCTGGTCAACCACATCCTGTTTTGTTTTGGGTGCAGCGGCAGCAAACTGCAATGAGGAAAAAAAGAAAATCACCAAAAATAAATAAAATTCTATCATATTTTAGGGCTCGTTTTTAATCTCAAAAGCTAAATCTGACACTTAATAATAAAGAAAGGCCACTCCTTCTTTTAGAATCAGACTAAACTAGATCTGTGATTTACAATTTAGTATTTTTTTTTATTCCAGGACTTACAGATGATAAAAAAAGCTGGTGTAAATCAGACCAGCTACTGAAACAACTATAAATTGGCTCTGTAACGCATCAATAATTAGGTTTGAAAGGTTTTCTGGCTTGCAGAACATCCATATAAGATGTATTTTTTCACTATATTGAGATGCTTCAATACAAAATGTTATAGAAATAGCAAGAGTATTATAAAACTGTGTATAAAAAAAAAGAAAAATGAGTAGGAGGTACACATCAGTGAGAAGCCTGTAATTTGGAGGGGGCAGGAAACTGGTGCAGCCCACAGAGAAGCTTTGGAAAGCCCTCAGAGAACGGCAGGCAGGATCGCTGCCACGTCAGCAGCAATAAGACCTACAAGAGCGTCCGTCCCCTTTGGGTCAAGCAGCTCCCTGCCTCAAGACTGAAATATGATACCTCTCTCTATTTCTCGATGAAAAACAATTAATGCAAACATCTGCAAATCTAAACCATCTCCTTAATTGTCATAAGTTACGATTTTCAGAAAAGTCTCAAACTTTTAGCCTTTCCCTCCAGGCTAAAGTAGGGCATGTGCTCTGCAAGCTCTGCCTTCTTCATTCCATCACTCAGAAACATATCCTGAGGGTGTGGATAACCAGCTTTACGGGCATTCTCTTTTATTTAACAGAAAGATTGTTTATTGCATCTATACGCTTTTGCATTTGTGGCACATGGGTAAAATTCACTTTTGGATACCTTTAGATGTTTTCATGTCTGCGATTTTCATTCTGAAAGACAAAAGTTGGATGAAGTAATCTCCACAAAGCAGTGGGAATGTTTTTCTAGGCTTCAAGGCTTAAAAAAAATACTTTGCTTTGACATTTCATGCTTCATTTCGCTTCCTATAAGGTCTGTGACCTTTAGCAGTAAAACATACATTTTAATCCCTTTAAACAAAGTAAAATCTACATCATTATGTTTTCTTTGGTAATCTAGTTGAATGTTCTATAATTTTGAGATTTGCAGGGGGGGAAAAAATCCAGCATAAAGAGAGTAAACTGCTGCAGAGTGGGAGCAAGTTCTAAAATAAAACAATGAAGACAAAGGAGTTCATTCACCCTCCGCATTCCTTTCCTGGAAAAAAAACAAAGGTTGAATTTTCTGATCCTCACCTGGCACAGATTCGCAGGGTCTCTCCTCTTGGGTGCGTCCGGTGGGTAGCATAACACTACCACGGTCCTCAGCTCTATATATCCTTAGAGAGAATTTTCTAGAAAATGGGAATGGGGTATTCAAATAAGGATGTCTGTGTTTGCTCAGGAAGTTAGGAATGGGACATCCCCCACTGAAATCACAGGGTGGATACCAGAGACCAGAAAAGAACTAAGTTCCCTCCCCTGAACTGCTCTGGGATCAGCTTTTGAAAACTTTTCTAAAAGGCATCTGTAGACACAGAGAGGGAGAAAAATCTGATTTGTGTTCAGCAGTAGCTGCTGGTGTCTGTTGGTCTGAGGACAGCGTTCTGACTCAATCTCCTTCCCTGCTTACATCACTGTAATAAAAGAATATATATATATATTTCCTTAAAAAATGTAGCTTATTTTACACATGCATTCATATATGATTAAAAAAATAAAGCAAACTGAGTTTCTCCTGTGAACAAAGTATCTTAAGAGACATAACATGTTTTTGGATGGGCTTTGTTCCCAGTTTGCCGAAAAGAAGTTGGACATTTATTGATTTTCACTACTGAAATGTCTTTGATTTAAAAAAGAAATATCCAGAACTTCAAAAGTTTGACTCAGTTGCATTTACAAGCTGCAGATTCTCCAGTCCATCCCCACCCCCACAGTGCCACGTCTCTCCATTCCAGCTGCTAGATGCAGCATGGGGGTGCAAAAGGAGATGCAGGCTGACGTGTCCCAAACCGGGACCCCTATTTTTAAATTTTAATGCAACATCTGTTTGTATCTCCTAACTTTGCAATATAACTCAATATCTATATTATCTATATGACAGTAGGGGACAGATCTGGTCAGATAAAGCACTGAAAAAGGAAGGTGTTGCTTTTTCTGTGTTTAATCATCGAAAAAGAAATCAAAACAAAGATTTTCAGACTTAATTCATTGCTCAGGGTTAGCTTGCAATGGCATCACCCCAGTCTGCCCATCATCTGGTTCTACTTCTGTTTAACAGTTCTCAGAGATTGTTGTCACATGCCAGCTGATGAGGAGTTTTCTTTTTTTTTCTTCTTTCTTGTAGTGACGTGTCGAGGGGGAAGCTTCTAGAACATCCAACAAAAGTTAAGGGAGGAAAATTCTCTCATGGATCAGCTCAAAAAAAACAGCGAGCATTGATTTTTTTTCGCAAGATGCTGATGCATCGCACTCGTAAAATTATTTGCAATAATAGGCTATTAAACAAATTACCCCCCCATGCAACACTCATAATCAGCTATAAAAAGCACCCACACCTCTGCAGGGAATGTGCCTTAAAAATGCCACAGTTTAGGGCAAAATTCCTCAGCTGTTGCAGAGTAAAGGTGACACCTGGGTCAACAAGGCCGGCTCCAACTTCTCACCATCATTAGTTCTCTTGTGAGAAACAACGGCACAGATGGTAAGAAGGGGATATGTAAATGAGAGCAACATTTAAAATATATTCATACAATTATAAGAGTGACATACTTAAATAGTAAAGACATGAAATCAGGAGTCAGTGTCTTAAATATTTTCAGAATTTGTAGAAAATATTCTTGCTCTATGTAAAATTTCTTTTTCAGATCATCTACAGTATATTTCCTACCCTTTGCTGTCATTTGAATGAATGCATTCAAAGCTTATGTATACGTGTCTGTGTGGGGGGGGATCTAGATTCTTCTACATCTAACCTGAGCCATAAGAAAACTCCTGCAAAACTCAAAGATCTGATATGCTTTTTAGATTGAAAATAACATTTTATTTTTTTTTATAACATGTTACATTCCTCTAAGAAAAAATAATAGCTTTTCTATTTTCCACAAGAAGAAGTTTGATGACAGAAGAATTCAGACACGTGTGCTGCACGTTTTTGGTGAGGATAGGGAGGAGCTACTTCTTACATAACTCCAGAAAAGAAATGCTGTTTGAGGAGAGGAGCTCATGCAACATCTGGACGTTGTTGCTCTATCCTCAACGGAAGACTCACAGTCAGTCTGTCTATACACTGATGGTGGTGTGGGGCTGAAAATAGCTTTGAGGAAACTAAAGCATTTGTAAATATTCACAATGTAATGTGATTTAGGCTGCAAGAAGTTGGGATTCAGAACTCCTTCAAGGTTGTTCATTGTGTTTGAACTTCCTGTTGTGGACAGAAGGATGTGGGGGTTGAAAACAATCAGGAGTCCGTTCATAGGATTTACAGAGAGGCTTTGTAGACACTTTCCTTCCTGCTTCTCTTCTCCATATAAGGTTCATGTATGACTTCCTGTGTGTGAGTTATATGCAGTAAATTTATTCCACCAAAAATCCAACCCAGAACTCTTTCAGACGTGCGATTTAATACATCTAATATGGATTAAAATATCCTAGATGTTTGAAATCATCTCTATGAGCTTCTTTTCTGGTATATCTGATTCTGGTTAGAAGTGGGGGTTGGCTGGCAAAAAAAAAGCACAATGATGCAAGAGCAGGGAGACATTTCAACTCAGCAGAGGGATGTTTCTTTAAAGTCACAATCTGAGCAATCTTCATGAATGAAAAGCTTTAATTTGTGAAAATACTGCCTATATACTGCTTTAACACTTGAGACATGAAACCTTGGTAATTTGGTAAAAAGGTGGAGGAAAGATCTTTTTTTAAATACCCCTAAAAAAACCTTTACTGTTCATTTTGTTTGGAATTTAATCCACAAGTCTTAAAGTGTCCTAAGTGTTAAAAGACTATTGCATTAGATACTGTAGAGTTGTTTAGCCCAGATTCCTACTAATGTTTAGTGATGCACATAATGTGAAAAAAAAATGTTGTACATTTACCTATATTTTGGTGCTTGTTTGGAATTAATATTGTCTTTTTATGAGTTTGTACAATTATTTGTTTTAAAATCTACCTATCTGTGAGAAAATCTATGGAGTCCTGTAGCTTAAAAACTAAACAGACCAAATAATATATATAACTGGCATAAAAACCATGTGGAAATGTCTCATGATTTAAACGAGAACTCCTCCCTACCTTTTAAACACCCATTATTTGATGTGTAGCATGGATCTCCTTAAAATTACTGTGATTTTTGTAAGAACTTTGTAGGAAAATATTATATATGAAATTGTAATTGAAGAAGTGATGTTTTTAAACTAACTTTGATTTTCCATATGTTTTGCAACAACTATTCAAACTAAGTCTGTGAAACCGGAGGCAGTTTAATGATTTATGAGGGAGGACTAATGAAGTTTAACTTTATAAACACATCATCTAAGTCATGTGCTGATGTGACTGCTTAGTATTGTTCTAAATATAATCACTCTAAAAAAAATTTCCATTTATGATGTAAACCCAACATCAGTGCAAGGACCTAGGATGTCAACTCTTGCAAAGATGTTTATCTTTTATTGTAGGAGTATATTTTCCTTGTAGAGCTCTGAAATCTATAGATCACAGCTTACAAACCCTGGAACTTTCTCCCTGTTTCTCTTAGTTTAGGTTCTGATTGACTTATTTCCACATGAAAATCTTGCTCTGGTTTTCAACAATGGTCCAAGCCTTGTTTATCATAGCTGATTATTAAACTTTTTAAATATTGCTCTGACAGAACATGCTGGTAAGTTTCTGATTCATGAAGCTCATCTTTGCTTTAAACTGAAAGCTCTCCTGCATTTCTCATTTTAAAGAAATCAAGTATAGCCTTGATGCAAACCATTAAATAATTTAACATGTCAAATATGATTCTGTCTCATAAGAATTTTCTGCATAGGAAGCTTATTTAAGTAAAATAGCTCAAAGAAAACTGTACTCAGAAACAAATCACATTTGGTCCCTAACTAAAAAGATAGTAAAATTACTCTTTTGATTGAGCTATTTTTTAAGTGTAAAATGTTCTTGATTTATGCATATAAATGTCACGTGTTTAAGACTCTTCAAAAGTCCAGCTGTTTTTTTGCCAAAATAGTCTCTATCTGAAAGTTTTCTAATAGGAAATGGGGTCGTGAGAAACTGCATTTTGCTGCACATATAGCAAAGGTCAGGAGGCTGGGACTCAAAGCCAAATTAAGGCTTAGACTTAGACAGACTTATTTGTCATTTTGTATACACGTGTAAAACAATTACACGTGTAAAACAAAAATACATTTTGTTAAGAACAGCTCTCTAGACAATTTCATTTTTTAAAAGTGCAGCCTTGAAAAACAGTAAGTAAAATATATATAAAAACAGTAATATAAACATATGGCTGTATACACTGCCTGGCCAAAAATAAAGTCGTCACCTGGATTCAACTAAGCAAATAGGTACGAGCCTCCTTTTGGATAATTACTGCATGGCCGATTATCTTTCAGCTGGCAACAAGTTGTTTAACCCCAACTGGTGCAATGACTTGCTTCTCATTTCCTAAACAACCATGTCGAAAGACACATCCCGTGGTCGTGGAAAAGATGTTAGTCCGTTTGAAAAGGATCAAATCATTGGCACGCATCAAGCAGAGAAAACATCTAAAGAGATTACAGAAACTACTAAAATTGGGTTAAGAACTGTCCAACGCAGTATTAAAAACTGGAAGGATAGTGGGAACCCATCATCTTCAAGGAAGAAATGAGGAAAAAAATCCTGAATGATCGTGATCGGCGATCACTTAAACGTGTGGTGAGATCAAATCGAAGAAAAACAACAGTAGA